TTTGACACTTAGTTCAAGTGTTTCTAAGTCCCTGGAGTGGTTTCCCATCATGTATAGTAGTGAAATACCCTAATTCGACTCCTATATGCCTTATTACATGTTAAATAGGATCTAATTGTGTTCGAGGCTTCATTAGACACTCAACATCTCATACCGATCTTTCATTCAAACCATTCACTCGAGGTGAGTTCATACCCCTACATTTTCCGAGTTTTTAATGTTTTCAGGGGGAATACAAGTAAAAGCACAAGTAATATTGTGTTCAAATATATTATTTTGTTTAATATATTTCCATCAAAAATATACATCGGATATAGTAATCAGTTTTACAAAAAGTGTTAAGATACAAACCTTGCAAAAGCAGTTTTCAAAACTAAGGAAATGAACTTATGAATCATAAAATAAAAGATATTATTTTATAAGGATTCATGTTAATAACAAAAAGGGTTTTCCTGTATTATTATTCGTAAAGTCGTTAATCTAATTGGAGACACGTCCTTGGGCGCTTACAAACTTAACTAAGTGGAGGACTAGCACTTGTGACCAGAATCTCCTGGAGGGAGAGCGTGATTTTTGTGTGTAGATCTATACAGGACCGACTATCCCGCACCTTGCTGCTAGCTACAGTAGGACAGGCAGGTCTACGGGTGACAAAGTCATAAAAGATACTGGTGCCCGATTCGCGCCATATCAAGTCAAAGTATGGTCATGACACTCGCAATGTAGATAACAACGATATATTTACGTAATAATAGACTGAACGAACGAACTATAAAGTTAATAACTAAGTGATCACAGGAGAGTATTAACAATACTTTCAGGATTTAGATCACCACGTTTTCAATTAGTTTTATTTATGTAATAAGACTAATATACATCACTGGAAGTAGCCAGGGTTTTCAAAAGGAACAATGCTTTAACGATATAAGTGTGGTAGATACTTGTACTCTTCAGTTTAGAACGGATAATCAATAACCTACTTTTAGGGGAAATATAGGATTTTCCCGGGATAACACCGGTATTTTTATAAACAGATGGTTTATTCATCAACTAACGAGTATTCATATTTCTTCCATAACTTCTTGTTTTATGCGTGACTAGTATGAACAAAGAAGTCAAGGAAGAAATGGGTTTAATCACGTTTTTCATAAGAAAATATGGGATTTTCTTGGATATCAAAGAATCATTTTACTTAAGGTTTACAACGTTTGTTACTCCGGATAACATAAGATTTTCTGTGCAAGATATCACATTTTTCAAAAGAACCGAAAACTGTCCTTCTAAAACAAAATGCTTATGAACTCACCAGCTTTATGCTGATACTCTTTCAAAACTTACTTGTATTCTCAGGGCTCTAGTAGACAGGTACACCCCCGACGCTTTTTTAGAAGACTGCCTAGCACCGTACTGCGACTCTTGTCGTCTTCTGTATCTACTTTAATATTTGAAATGTGTAAAATACCTATGTAAAACTTATACTTATTAATGCAATGGTTGGCTGTACTTTGATTGCTATAATGCATGTGTTGTGATACTTACGCGACGTCATCCGCCCCCGAACGTTTCCGTTGTTCCGATTTTGGGGTGTGACACACGGGACTGGTGGGAGGAGGTAGGACGTGAGGTGGGTGATGATGTTGTTGATGCTATGACATGGGATGATTTTTCGATCAAGTTCCGAGCTGAGTTTGCACCGGTGATTGAGGTGCAACAGTTGGCGCGAGAGTTTTAGGATCTCCGCCAGACTACTGAGACTGTGGCAGAAGTCACTGCCAAGTTCCAGGAGAGGGCTTTATTATTTCCGCAGTATGCAGCGAATGATGAAATGAAGAAGGTAAGATATCATGATATGCTGATGGATGACATTAGGGATTTTGTGAGGTATCAGGGTGCAAGACCCTAAATGATATGATTTCTAGAGCCCGAGAGTGAGAGATCGATTTGGAGCACCTAGGAAAGAGGGGGCCAGATCAGGTGCAGGCAGTGGAGGGTCCTGTGAAGAGACCTAAAACTTCAGATCAACGATTGAGGGGCCACCAGGGCCGGGGTCAGTGCAGCATGTGCGGAAAACTACACGATGAGGTTTGTCGTTCTAGGGGTTTGGACTGATATAAGTATAGCAGGGTTGGTCATGTCAGCATGGATTGTCCTCAGGGGGCCATTTAAAACCCGCGATACAACGACCATTGCCACGTCGCGGTATTCCTTTACCACGACATGACACTACTTAAAATTTAAGAATATAATAAATTATAATACCTCCAAGAATCCGAACGTTACAATCTCATTTCAAACCCTACGTATCTCTCTCTTTCTCTCATTATCTTCTATGGCCAACAGTCCTCTATTACTACCATCCTCTGTTACCAAGAGTCCTCTCATTATCTCATTTCAAACCCTACGTATCTCTTTGTTACCACCATCCTACTGCTTTCGTCGGTATAGCTTTGAAGAGAGACACCATCCACTGATTTTCTCATTACAAAGCTTAGTTAGTGCCTTTTGTGTAATTTTTTTTCAAATTTGATACATCATCATTTACGTTAGTGCCACATAACCAAATAGTATCATGTCACCAAAGTCCGACACGCAACATCCCACGTTATTGGGTAACGAGGTTTACAAGTTAAATGGTCAACATACAAAACTTAGAAAATATAATGACTCGTTTATAAAAAAATTAATTCTTTATAAAAAATAATATTTTTGTATAATATATCTTTATACAAAAAAAAGTCCTTTAAAACCCTTTATTTAAATTGGAAACCAATTTCATCAACATGAACCTTTGCAAGAAGTCTCAAACTTCAAGAAAACCCAGGTATGTTACTGTTTTAATCCAATGTTTTGAATCCTTAATTGTAGTTTATTTTTATGAATAAATCAGGATGCCAAAGGTGGTGTTCCAAATCCTCTAATTTACCATGTTTGAATGCTTCTTTCTAGAGTTTCGCCGTGAACTTTGCATCTCTTGTTCCTCCCAACACCTGCTCAGTCCCAAAGCTCTTAGATTCTCTATTCAAGCGACTAACAGTTCAGAATCTATCAAGTATGAAGATGCCAAAGAAGAAATCAAGCACAAAGGACGAACAATCGACAGTGCGGAATCATTAGAGGATAAAGAATAAGCTCCCAGAAGATTATATGAGAGGATACAAAAGCTAGCAAAAGGAGATCATATCGGGTCCACATTCCAAAGTTGGATGGCAGACGGGTTTCCAATTCACAGAGGTGATATTTTTCACACCACCAATCGTTTACGCAAACGTAAATTTAATAAGCCTGCCCTTTAGGTAATAGTATGGTGTTCATGTTAATGTCCGAAACAATGCGCCTAAATTTTGCCTTATTATCCTCTTGGAATATCCTATCGGAACCTAAGGACGGTGTGATATTTTAAACGTCTTAATTTGTTGCAGTTGATGGAATGGGTGATTAGGAAAGACCATAAATGCCAAAACAACTGGATTACTCATATATGCTAGAATTCACTGCTAAGCTTCATGGGATACGACAAGGTGAGAAGCAGGGCCGGTCCAAACGTATATGGGGCCCAGGGCGAAAAGAAAAAAAAGGGCCCCTCATATAGACCAATATAATAAAGATTCGAAAAAATATAATTTATTCTTCACTATAGACGTGCTCAATTAGCAATAACAAGAAATCCAAATTGTTTATCTTTTGAGTTAGTTTGAGTTTGAACCAACTTTAGGCCCTAAAAATCATTTAGGTAATAAATTTTTTTATAAATATATACTACATAGCCCAGAAATTTTTGGGCCCCCTAGAGACGTGGGCCCTAGGCGGTCGCCCGGGTTGCCCACCGTCTGGACCGGCCCTGGTGAGAAGCTATTACTCAACAATAATCTTGTGATCGTTTGCTTACATGGTTTTCAATTACCACTAAGTTGGACAATACTTTTGTATAAGGGAGGTTGGCAGGTTTCGAACTCACTACCTCTCATCATATTCCAAAAAGCAATGCTATACAACCCCGCCAATTTCACTGTTAGCAGAGTAAATTACAAAAATGGTCCCTGTGTTTTGATCAGATTCGTAGTTTTGGTCCTTAAATTTAAAAAGTGATAGGTTGCATCCCTATCGTTTATGAATATTGCAAGGATCAAAACTGCAATATTCATAAATCAAAGGGATATAACCTATTAATTTTTAAACTTAGGGATCAAAACTACGAATCTCACCAAAGCATAGGGGTCATTTCTGTAATTTACTCTTACGGCAAATGGTATTTATATTTTTAAACATATAAATATGTTTTTAAATATATAAATATGATTTTATATATTTTAAATATATAAAATACACTTTGAAATATATAATATGTGTTAAATATATACATACAATTTTTAAATGTATAAATACGGTTTTATATGTTCTTTTATACACATAAATAATGTCTTTTATATGTATAATGTTTTTATTTGTAAAAATACATGAATACGTATATATAATACACTCATATATGATGTGTTTATTTGTAAAAATATATAGTCAAATGATAAGATACATATAAATATATATATTTTTATACGTATAAATGGGTTTTTATATTTAATGTGTACATATAAATATGGTAAAGATGTTTAAATTTTAAACACGTTTAAATATGTTTACATACAGTTTTTTATATGTTGAAATATGTTTCAAAACATTTTTTTAAAAAAAAATTGTTTGACGGTAATGTTGCTCTTCTGCAGATTTGTGGTTCTAAAAAAATAAAATAAATAAAGATGGCGAGTTCTTATTATTTTTTTTTTTTTCTGATTTTCTTTTCTGAAAATTTTAAATTGCTGATTTTCTTTCTTATTCTCTTTATGAGATATGTGTTCTGATGTTTGCAATTTGCGTATTATGAGTAGTTTTCTTTGCCAAGGTTAAATTGGTGGAGCCAAATTCTATTAATTAATTCTTATGCTACTTAACGAATTTGTTTAATAAATTCATGCGGAATGAGTTTGCATTCTTAAACCTTATTCATGGTTTTGGTTTGCTTAAATAGACGCATCCACAAAATCAACAATTCGCACATTCGGACATTTACCTGGAAAATAACTTTGAGACGAGAGTTGGTCTTCCAAAGGCATGCAAGCAGCAAGCCACCTGTTTGAACGCCGGTTCTTTCTAGCATTTCGTCGAGCACTTTCCATATCTTGTTCCTCCCAACACCTCCTCAGTCCCAGAACTCTTAGATTCTCTACTCAAGTGACAGATGTCTCAGAATCTATCAAGGAAGAAGACGCGGAAGAAGAAATCAGATACAGTGCACGAACAATTAGCGGTGAGGAATCAACCAGAGAGGATAAAGAAGAAGCTCCCAGAAGCTTATGTGGGAGGATTGAGAAGCTAGAAAGAGGAGATCCTGTCGGGTCCGCATTCCAAAGCTGGATGGGAGACGGGTTTCCAATTCACAGAGGCGATATTTTTCACACAATCAATCGTTTACGCAAGCGTAAATTCAATAAGCGTGCCCTCGAGGTAATGCATACAAGGTGTTCGTGTAAATGCCTGACACAATTCCCTAAATTTTTAGTTTATTTTCCTGTTGTTAGCTCGAACCTAAGGATGTATCTGTGATAGTTTAAGCGTATTAATCCGTTGCAGGTGATGGAATGGGTGATTAGGGAAAGACCCTACATGCCAAAACAACTGGATTACTCATTTCTTCTAGAATTCACCGCTAAGCTTCATGGGATACCACAAGGTGAAAAGCTCTTTTCTCACATCCCTTCAGAGTTCCAAGACGAATTACTCTACAACAATCTTGTGATGGTTTGTTTAGATAAAGGAATGATACGATTATCATTAGCTTACATGAAAAAGATGAGGGAACTCGGTCACTCCATCTCCTACATGGTCTTCAACCGCCTAATAATCCTCCATTCCTCCCCTTCCCGAAGAAAATCCATCCCCAAAATCCTCACCCAAATGAAAGCCGATAAGGTCTCCCGCCATGTCTCCACTTACAACATCCTTTTGAAAATGGAAGCCAATCAACACAATATCCAAGGGTTGAATAAGGTGTTTGATGACATGAATCGTGCAAATGTTGAGCCAAATGAGATTACTTTCTGCATAATCGCCACTGCACATGCGGTAGCTAGGCTATACACCGCTTGTGAAACTTACATTGAAGAAATCGAAAAGTCAATGACTGGAAAAAACTGGTTAACATTAGATATACTGGTTATACTCTACGGGTATTTGAAAAAATCAAAGGATTTAGAAAGAACTTGGAGAATCATACAAGAGCAACCACGTGTTAAATCAAAAAGCTACGTGTTAGCGATTGAAGCTTTTGGGAGGATTGGAGATGTGAATCGAGGTGAAGAAATCTGGTCAAAGATGAAGTCAAATTACGAGATGAAATCAACCGAGATGTTTAATTGTTTGATATCTGTGTATTGTAGACGAGGGTGTATTAGTAAAGCGACAGGGTTGTATAGGGAAATGGAGACGTATGGATGCAAAGCAAACTCGATTACTTTCAGGCATCTTGTTGTGGGTTGTTTGAAAGCGGGGTTGAAGAAGGAAGCTTTGAAGACGATGGAGTTGGGGATGGGTGTGATGACGAGTAGCAGTGTGAAAAGGTCGATGCCATGGATGGAAACGGGGTATGAAATGTTGGAGGTTTTTGCAGAGATTGGTGATGTGGAGAATGCAGAGAAGGTGTTTGATGAATTAAGGAAAGGGAATTATACGAAGTATACTTTTGTTTATAATGCTTTGATTAAGTGTTATGTGAAGGCTAAAGTTTGTGATTCGAATCTTTTGAAACGGATGATTCTTGGTGGGTCTAGGCCGGATTCTGAGACGTATAGTCTTTTGAAGGTTCTTGAACAGTTTAGAAGATAGTTTTTTTGTTGTATTTTTGGTTTATATATTGCTTAAATCTTTATATAAAACAGAGGTGTTCTTGATTTTTTTTTTATCATTTACTAGGGTAAAACTCGTATACTACACTGTTGATAAATTAAAATAATATAGATAATAACAAAGACATAATTATTAATCATAAATTTGTAAACATTGTTTTGTATAAAAATATAACAAGATCATTGTATTAGTTTTAACTATTTTGCATATTAGATATAAACATGGTTGAAAACTAAATAAATAAATAAATAAAATTAAGTACATTACCCTTTTATGCTCAAAATCATACGAGGTGACATTAACACACACTAATTTCAAGAATCGATTTCATACCCCAAGTTTCTAAGAACAAAAGATTTTCATCAATTGATTAAGAAGTTGAATTTGTAGATCTAATGAAGAATTTAGATTTGCAGATCTGATGAAGATTTACGTATGAGTGTGTGGGTGTTCGATTTTCAAACTCAAGAACGTAATTCTTCATCTTCATCTTCATCTTCTGTTCAAACTCAAGAACAAACACATCACTATTTCTCTATCTAAAAACGATTTATGTTCAAACGATTTTTGAACTCAAACCGAAAAATCTATTTTCCATTTCTGTTCAAGAACACATTGAACTCGAGCTTTGACTTCTAGGTTTGTGTTCGTGTTCTTCATCAGATCTAAAAACATGCATCAATATTTTTTTTGTTTGTGTTTGTGTTCTTTATCAAATATGGGTTTGAGTTCTTTATAATGTGTGTATGTGTGTGTGTGTGTGTTTATTCTTCGCCATATCTGAAAATAGACAACAATATGAAGAACTCAAATGATTTATGGATTTATGTTTTTGAGTTCATCATATTTGTTGTAGATTTCTGTGTTGGAGAATCATGAGTGTTTGTATGTTCTTGAACGGTTGGAGATAAATAATCAATGTTTGTGTTCTTGAACACATGAAGATGAAGTATCATTGTGTGTGTACTCTTATCAAAAAATCAAAAATCAAAATATTTTAGATTTCTGGTCAGAGATTGTTGAAGAAGATGACCGGAGTTTCGCCGGAGCTGCCCAATATACCGGAAACCAACTAAACCTCCGATAGCAGGCCATAAGGATGTTTTTTTTGAACGGTTCAACAAGTTAAATGGAAAAATAAGGACAAAAAAAAAAATCAGTGACAATGTGTACAAATCAAAAAAATAAGTCTTTATCCCTAAGATAAACAATTCAAAGTTACCAAAGTAAAGTTTCAATTCAAAGTGTGAGCACACTCACAAATCAATTCGTGGTGAAGTAATCAAAGTAAAAGTTTCAATGTCAACATTTTAAACCATTTCCACAACAATAAACTAAAGTTATTGTCCATTTTAACTATTTCCATCGCATTGCATGCTAAAACAATCAAAATCAACATTTATTATATCATAAATTATTCTAGAATAAAAGTAACATGCTATAGATAATATCCCTTGACAAAAGATTTTACTCTTCTAACCATAGTACTTGATATATTATAGATCAAGCTTAACAAATGAATTCAAAAACTACCGAAATGACACAACTAGAACATAAATTTTGCTAATTTGAAATAAGGAAAACCCAATTGTAACATTGACTTGTAGAGAATGTCGTTTCCAATTGTTTAGTCCTTGAAATTTTCCTTTCTTATTTGAACTCCGGCCATTGACCTGCAAAAACACACCTATGGTTTAGCCGTTTAGCTAACGGTTACATGACAACATACTTTAAATTAGTTGTGTATTATATCATTATACTTCAATTTCTGTCCATCACATCATTGTAATTTAAAATACAATTGCTTTAAATTTGGATAATATTGCTTATGATTAGGTAGCATTCTTAAAATACAATGCTATAATTTGAAGAAAATTAAAGTAGGATGCTATAATAAACTTATCAATGAAAGTAAGTTGATATTTCTTGCATATACCCCTAATCAAATGCATCAAGTTCCACAGGTATACTTTTAGAGTATAAGATGATTGTAGGTCAAATAGGCTATATCATAGTATATAAAATATTATATCTGGATTATGCCATGGTTTAAACGTCATTAATATAATTTTATCCTCTAAGAATAATTAAAATTTAAGTGTGTATCTAAAAGTCATTCTACAAATCTGTGTTATCAATATTCTAATAAGGTGAGAACAAATCATATCATATTCTATAAATTAAGAAACACGTTTAAATGAAAAAAAATCAACATATCTTCGTTTATTTGTTTATATTATTAGCATGGTACTTTCGTTCCTTCCTATTATAACATTTTGTTTTGAGAAATCTACTTAATTATAGAAATTTCCAAATACAAAGCTAATTTTCTCAGATATAATCGGGTAGATTTTTCAAAATATAATGCATTTGTAAGAAAAAAATTGAAAAGTATAATGCTATACTTTGGTAGTTTTTCAAAGTACAATGCGTTGATACATACACAAATTTCGTTGTGCAAGGCCTTACTCTTAGCATTTTTATGTTACAAAGTCGGACACTGTAAACAATGTTGGAAGAATTAGGGTTTATGTTGGAGATCTGGATACTTTTTGGATCATGTCAACACTTTTCGAACTGATATTTCTACTCTATGTTTGAGTTGCAAGAAATTCAGCCTAGGATAATCTAAGATGACACTTACGAATCTAGGCACATAAATCGTAAGCTAAATTGTTAGAAGGATTCTATGTTCGTTTGAAGAAAAAAAGAATTAATGGTTTTCGTATCTTTTCTCAAAGAGAAGAGCCGTTTATATATAATAAACGAGATTAGGATTTGCCTCTTAGGGTTGGCCGTCATGGGTTGCTTTGGAAGCAAGTCAGGAAATCCGGAATTTAATAAGGATTTAGGGTTTTCAAAACTGACGAATTTTGTCAGTTTTACCATAATCACCCTCAAGAATTGGTTTTTCTCACTATGTTCTCATATGTAAAATTAGGAGAGTTTTTAGGGTGCTGCCCCAAACCCCATGGAACCCCAGCCAGGGGCTCTGCCCCTTGGACCCCGCTAGGGGCGCTGCCCCTTTGGAAACCCCGGACCCAGGGGCGCTGCCCTCGGACCCCCGACTTGTCGTCGAACCGGCTTCTAATTCGATCTTAGTTTCAATTATATAAAATGACATGATGACACTAAAATCAGGAACAAACAACCACTTTTAACTAAAAGTTACAAAAAAGTACTAATAAAGCAACGTTAGAATTTAAAACATTTCACTTATATTTTTATGATAAAAAAAGCCAGACATTTTTAACTAATGGCTATAGCAAAATGATAGCAACCACTTTTAACTAAAACAACCACTTTTAAGTTATCTTAAACCTACAACAAAATAATAATGAAATGAACATACAATTAAAAACATATCGCTTCTAATTTTATAATAAAAGTCGGACACTTTTAACTAAAACCATCGGCAAAATGATAACCAATTTTAACCAAAACCTACAACAGTATGATAACATTACAAAAACTAATCAAGCTCCTTACTTGAGATTCCATCAACATGTGGCGAGACCATTGTGGAAAAAAGAAGAAAAAAAAATCTTACAATGTTATGTGACTTCTGTTCAATAAGAAGTTCTAAGAACCAGCTTGTCAAATGTTAAACACTCTTCATCGGTCTTCTCAATGGTTTCTCTAGGAGTCTCTCTAAACCTATGAGCTGTAACCTTGATGCAAGGGATCTAATACATCCAAAAATATCATAATTATACCAATCACCACAAAAATCTTGTCATCCTGTTTTTAAGAAGCCAAAGATTATAATTAATTACAAACCATGGGTAATTATTACTCCCAAATCTACATTAAAATGACCAAAGAAAAAACATAAAAATCAATCAGATGAGGGCTGTTTTTGACTTACGAAATGAAAATTTTACACTGTTAGTTTGTGATAAAAAAAGGAACAGGGGATATAGATACGAATTTAAACCAAATCAACCAATCATATAATATTAGTTTTATCTCTTAGATAGAAGAACTATAAAACTAAAAGACCACCCAAGCAGGTGTCATGAATTCACAGTATTGAAACACAAAAATTGGATTAAGAAAAAAAAAACCATCGAGAGAACAGAGGAAAGACATGTGTAAGTTACTAATTAATTTTTTTTTAAACAATTAATATAGGAAATCATGGCCTTCAATATTTAAATCCATTCGTAAAAGCTAACACATTTGAAACAATATATTTTAAAACCATAACCTTTAAACTTTAGTTAAATATTAAAATATTTTAATTAAAACCATAATTTTTCGTTAAAGAAAGTATTATTGATACCAAAAACATTAAAATATTATTTCGTTAAAACTTTCAAATATAAAATCACATTTACTAAAAAGAAAGGTGTTTCAAAACACAGTGCAAAATTCAAAATCCCACATTACATATTTAAATTTTCATAAAATTGGTTGTACTTAAAATCCATGAAAATGTGAAATTATGATTGTAAGTCAGGCGAGGTCCTTCATCTGTCTACCCTGGAGGGTCCCAGGAAAGATTAATAAACAATGGATAAGAAAAACTCTTAATGAGCATACACAATACTCACCAATTATATTAATTATATACCTTCACATAGCACATACATTCACATAATCACATAATACATAAAATTTTAACACATTGTTGGTACCAACTTTTTTCCTGTTTTGACTATAAAAATCGACCATTTTTCTGGACCAATCAGGAAAATGGTCACCAACACTCTAGAAAGAGTGAGGGTTGTACCATAGAAAATTATATTTTGAACTAGACTACATCTAAACTCGCTCCCTGACCTCATGCCAACTGAATTTTTCAAGAATTATTTATACATTTTACAAGATGGTTATTGAAAACAACCATCTTTCTAGACCAACCCGTAAAGAAGGCCAATTCCATACAACTTAGGAATGAAATCAGGCTAAGGCCTTGTGAGGGAACAAACTAGACCTCCGTACCTTTCCAAGGACATATTATTCATGGATGAAAC